AATTACAGGCCTCTCTCATCTTTTTAAGTGGGAGAACTTGCACAACTGGTAGCTGACTAAATACTTTTTTGCCCCACTATATTTAGTCTCAAAGGAAAACTTCAGCCTTCTGTGAGGCTTTTCTTTCTTTCTTTTTGATTGGAAAATGGGAGGAAGTGGCAGAAAGGTGTGTGAAGTAAAACAACTGCACCAGCAAAATGGACAGCTAAGCTCACTATCAAGACAAATTCAGAAGAAATTCTCATGGACTTTGTGAATAAGGTAGAAAACTCTTCCAAAAGGAAGAACACTTTTGAGAAACAGGCGTGGAGAAGCAGACTTTGGCCCAGCGTTACTAATACAGATGATGAGATGTGGGAAGTTTAATGTCTTCTACTTTTTAAAAACACACTAACAAACAAAGCCGCAATTAGGAGGCATTAGGAGACAGTATTTGAAAGAGGAGATTTAGCCTGTTCTTTGTTTCCTGATATCAAGTCTACAATATGTGCAGGTTTCAAATTGCGCTCCCGTTCTAAGACTCATTATGAGAGTCACAAGTCATTGTTCCCCTTTGTTTTGGGAAACAGCAAGTCTTCTGACCCTTAAGGTTGTTTGCACAATCTTAAAAGGAAGTAACCTCAAAGTGAGGCAATCAAAAGCTTTTCCAACCTTTTTGTAGCTCTTATTCTTTTTTTTTTAAAATAGAAATGCTCTATTCCACGTGGGAAGTTTAATTCTTCAACCAGTGGATTTGGGCGTGCAGGATTGAGGAACCTTGAAGCTGAAGGTGGGAGAAATTAGAATTAGGAACCAGAGGAAGTATGCAGACCAACCCAATAATGAGGATAACGCCCTTGGTGGAGAGAGGAGGTGTTTAATAGCAGCTTAAGCAGAGAGAAGGATTTGAGCAGTCCCAACGGGTGTGAAGAAATTAAGCTCTCGATAGAAAAAAATTAGGAGGTGTTTAGGAAGATGCAGGGTTTGCAGCTGAGAATAGAGATGCCAGGAACCTAACAGGTGAAAGGTGATACAGGAGGAAATCAAGCTGCACGCCCACGGCCCATTCAAGGAGACATTTACCTAATATATCCCCAAAAAGCTTTCTCCACTGGGGGTATTACTGTATAGTTATATCTGATTACAATAACCAACATCTGCAGCCAGCATGGCCAATGGGCCAAAGTAGCTGGCAGAGAATACGGGTCTAGCCTTCTTGTATAAGCTTCTCTCTAAGAAAAGACTACGGTTTCTTATTTTGTCCTAACATTCCCTGGTTCTGAATTACTTCCAGAAACACTTGCACAGCTAAGATGTCTCTATTGTTCTGGAAGAGTAAGAAGGTCTCTGTTCTCCTCGATTCCCTCCCTATCAGTGACCTGGATGGATGGACCCAAAAGTCTGTCCTTTGCCCTCTCACTTTGTGGGACTTGATATTTGGGTATCATGCTGGATCCTGGTTGCTAAGGGGGGCCTGGCGAATACAATCATCTGCCAGAGCTTCATAATTTTCACGGGGGGTCAGCTGGGTGACAAGCCCAATTCAAAATGCAGGTATGAATCTCCAAGGGCTGAAAAGACTTGGGATTAGGCTCCTAAAGGAGTATCTTCCTTCCATCCTCACCCGAGGTTCTCTTCAGGTGTTTCCACCCAATAAAACAAGGCGGATCCTGGATTGGCATTACAAAAAAATACAGTGACATCCCGTTTATGGAACACCTTCTTCAGAGAAGTCGTCTCAATGCCTACATGATGATCTTCCTTTATTTTCCCAGGGATTTTAAAGTGAGTGAACATCCCTTTGTTGCTAGTTTTACTGGGACTTTACTTTATGGTTATTACCGGCACCTTTTTAGACTTTCTAAGCGTTCCTGTTGGCTCTACAGTCTTTTTAAATATAGTTGTACCCCATCCAGAATGCTGATGTATCTGGGTAGTTCTGAAGTGTAACAAATGAACTGGTTCCCTAAGAAATAAGAGGGGAAGACTTCAAATTCAGTAAGCTTCCTACAACTGAGAAACTTTGCTGAAAGTGGGATTCAGACGGAGGTACTTTTGTGTTTTGCGTTCCTTGGGTGATAACAATGAGTGCATTAGAAACGATCTACCACTAGAAGGCATTTCCTTGGCTGGGAAAGCTGAGAATTAACTAGCAAATAGAAAAAAGAAAGGGGGTGCAATTAGGACTTGGCCTTTTGCTTTTGGATTATTTGGCCATACTACCCATCAAATGCCAATGGCACCACTGGCAATTCCCAGGGAGGAACACACCAAGATTATTTGGAAGATTTGGGAGCGACAGTTTACTTGCTAGCTTGATTTCCCAGAAAGCTATGAAACTGAACCATCTCAACTGGGCACTGCCCTGGCCAGCCTGGTGTGAATCTCAGTAGTGGTGGCCATTTTGAGTAGAAGATTGTGCCCGCTAATGAACTGCATCACTTTCTTCCTGCTATCAAACCGACCTCCAAACTTTGCAATCAGTTGTGCCTCATGGATGCCTCCTGAAAGCCAACACTCAACCTATTTCTACAGCTCTGGTTTTATTTTTTTTAAAAAACATTGTGCCCTTGATTGGGGTTCATCCAGGCAGGCCAGAATTATTTCTCCTGTTTTGGAAATGGGCCACTGAAGCAAAGGAGCTTTGTTTAAGGAGGTTTAAGGTCATTTCCTGACTAGGGTGTCCTCCAGCCACCATTGTGTCAAAATAACAGTAGTGAGGACACATTTTATACCTCTTCAATGATGGCTGGGCAGTGCTATGAAGATGGTATGAGTTACTAGCGAGGAAATAACGTAAGTCTTCTCTCAGACCTCCCTATCTAATGCTGGATCACCAAGGACAGCAATTAGTAATACCGATGAGCTTTACAGCTGATGAAGACATCTCAATTCCATTGCAGACCACTGCTCCATCAAATGTCCAGAGAGAAACATCAAGAATTTCCCACGTAGGTCCCAAAGGTAAGCACCATTTAGAAAAATAAAATGGTAGGGTGTCTGACTGCAATTCAGTGCTAGTTTTGGATGTCTACCAATGAGGTAGAGAAGAGGTTGCAGAGAGCAATATTGCTAGCTATGATTGGCTGGTGATTTTATTTATTAGTTACTTATTACATTTATATCCTGCTGCATTCAAATAAGATTCTCAGCATCCATTACACACTCTCAAAATGTGTACCTGTTGGCCCTAAAGCTCTATTTATCCTTCCCCTCAACTCCAAACAAAACAAAGGACTTCCTTTTATGGTTCACTTAGAAATATAGCCAAACCAGATCCCTGAGTTGGTTCTTTGTTGATAAGCTGGCAAATCAGAAATCATATGCCACAGATCCGCACCTGTACTGCAGAGAGAATAACAAAACTGCCTATTTCTTCTTCGCTCAATAAACCAGAATTTTTTAAAAAATGGGACACATCACTGCCAGAGAGTTACCTTGTCACCTGCCACCTACCTGGTCCTTGTCTGAAGACATGTTGCTTGGCATGGGGGGTGTTTCAGATTCCCCCCACAGGTCACTGAAGACTCGATCATTCTCCATCCCGGTTGGCAATGTCTTTGGCGACTTCCGGTCCGTTTCCCAGAAACTGGCGGAGGAGAAAAACACACAACCACTTGTGAGTCATATGATTAAATAATAACTGGGCTCAAACCAGGTTCTGAGGTCACCCATGCATCCTTGAATTCTGGAGCAGGGAGAGCCCAAATCAGTGGCTAGTTGTGTTTGTCTGCGGCAAGTACAGGCAAGTTTTTCTGTCTGTCTGAATGTTAGTTCTCCCACAATCAGAGTTAAAATCAGTCCATTACTATACAAAGAAACAAACGGAAACTCTATCTCCTGACCAAAATAGAATAACTCTTGGCCTTCCTGTAGAGTGAACAGGAGAAAAAGATGCCCGAAATCAGAAGATGGATTGGTATAAAATGAACTAGCATTTGATATTCAGCGGTTGCTGGAATTCTTTCATAAGGGATTCTCAACTTTTCTACAATAAATTTCTGATCAAAAGCTCCTGCATGCTTGTGAGTCTGTTTAATTAGTTTCAGTCCAGTTTGCCAAGGAGAAACCTGACACTCTGGTGTCACACAGGAATGATGAACCCAGTTACAAAATGTCCACCTAGGGAGACTGGTCTACTCAGTAAAAGCTAACAAGGTCCTTCAAATGTCCTGTACCACTAATTGGATCTTGTGGCATTCCTGCAAATAAATACAGTGCTAGAAGCTAGAACTTTGCTTTGCCTTCCTATTTCATTAAAAAAAAATGAGAAAAAGTATTTTTAAACACAGCAGATAGGACAGGAACCCCAATGGACCCATGGGTGGCATAGTGAATTCCACAGCCACATGCTGCCTACCCTGTTCTATTAGAAGAATTCAATGCAGAAGCCCCAGCTGAACACAGATGTTCTGCCACGTCCAAGGGTAGTTCTAACTTTCAGCCTGCTTGTCTCCCATATTGATACGTATCAGAACTGCCACTGCAAAACCAAGATGCAGAGCTTCAAGCTCTGGGGTCCAGTCCTGTTAGGAGGCTGGTACATCCAATCCTCAGAATTCTACCCCAAATACAGGAAGATACAGAAGATACAGACGTCAAGAGTTTCTTCATCCATCCAGCTCTCCTCTTTAGAAGATCCTTCCCATCTTTCCTCTTCCGTGCCAAGTCTGGATCCTCAGGCTAAACTAGCCTCCTCTAGAATTTTGGCAAATAAAGAAAGTTGCTGAGGTCACACCCTGATACTCTTGTGGCTACCCCATTTTTCCTTAATTCACAAACTGCTTTCTAAAGGGACATCAGTGAGATGCAGGGAAGGGACTCAGCCCAGTGGCAGACAATTGAAACTTCGTAATAGCAGCACAAATATTATTTTTTGTTTAAAAAAAAAACACACCAGGAAATGAAACTCCTTAAACTAATAATTATTCAGCAATGGAGTGGAGGAACAAATTTCCCCCCTTTAAGGAGCAACAGATACAAAGATAAGATAGAATGTTTACCAAGGTACCTGGCTCCAGCAGTCCAGGGAAAAGGAAAAAAAAGATCTGTGCTGCTCTCTCTCTGGGGAGAAAGAAAAAAGTTGCTTGCAGAGTCCTTTTTTACAGACAGCAATCCCTAAGCATTCCAGAGGATGTGGGATTCCAACCGATTCTACCGTGAGAACTTTCAGAATTAGAAAAGGAAGCGCTTGACTATCCAATAACGAAAGGGGAAGGGAGAGGAAATCAATATAAGTAAATAACAAATAAATAATAAAAGCGGGAAGGAAAGGAATGGCTGTACATGAAATTGCACCAGGAATATTCTAATTACAGTAATCAAGCTAAATGAGCCTCACGCTAGTTTAGGAAAGCAGGTTTATGAGCTGGAACCTGCAAGGCTGTTCTGTCAGTGTTTGCCCCCCCCCCTTTTCCAATGACTCAGTAATAAATCTTTATTATATGGAAGCAGATATGTTTAAGAACAAAAAACCAAAAACACTTCCCTCCTTGACCAAAAGCACAGAGAGAAAAGACAAGAGGAGAGGGGAATGGGAAAAAGACAAGGAAAAGAAAAAGGGGGAGGGGAAATTTGTACATGTGGTTGCAAAAATTTGATTTTGAAGAATGAAATTAAGGCAAGCTGTTCTATCAAGGATGACAGAATCTATGGCTTTTCAAGCACGATGAACTACCATTCCTAGCAAATCTGAACCCAGCTATACAGGTTGCACAGCTCTAAAGAAAGGGTATTAAAATATGGAGGAGTTGCAGGACAGAATCAATGTTATGCTCCTATTGCATCAACTGCATTAGCTTCACAAACCACTCTACCATCCGTAGGCCTTCAAGATAAATCTTTCAATAAATACTGATAAACAGGGTCATCACCATTGGTTCTGGTTGATCTAGCCGGCTTCGAAGAGACAGACCTGGTCAGTGAATGGGAATCCACCAGGCTATTCCATGGATGCAAGCCATGAAGTACAGACAGATCCAAGTAGAAAGCGTTGGAAACCGCTTTTATACTGTTGTTCAGAAAACTGCAAGGAAGTGTTGACCAAGTCACTGGAAGCTGAGCTGAGCTTGACTCAGAGCTGACTTTGTCTTACACAATGCATAAATATAATTATAGAGCTTTATAATAAATACTGCTCCATGAACTTTGCTCCATGAGCTACACCAGTTACCAGTAGGGATTTGGGTATAATTCACCAAAAAGTGCTGGTTATTACCTATAAAGCCCTTTGTGGCTCAGGCTCTGGTTAAATGACAGGACTGTTTGTCTGCCATAGCTTCTGCCCGGCCCATGTGATCGGAGTCAACACTGATTTGGAGGCGCGCACACGCATCATCATCATGGAATGGAATAGAAAATAGAAATAGAATAGGAGGCAGGAAGTGCTAAAGTTTCTTAATAGTTAAATAGGATAGGATAGGATAGGATAGGATAGAATAGAATAGAATAGAATAGAATAGAATAGAATAGAACAGAACAGAACAGAACAGAACAGAACAGAACAGAACAGAACAGGAGGCAGGAAGTGCTAAAGTTTCTTAATAGTTGAATAGAATAGAAATTAGAATAGAATAGAATAGAAT